GTCACCTGACATCAGCATATTCGGCCTCATAGGATTAAAATTTCTACTGGAACTCTAATATGGAGAACTAAAAGAAGAGAAAGGATGACTGAACTGAACACAGATGTGTATGTGTGTGTGTGTGTGTGTGTGTGTGTGTGTGTGTGTGTGTGTGTGTGTAATAAAAATCCCATGGCATCTATATCTAAAAACTATTATTACAGTCAGTGATAAGTAATTCTTGTAGACCACACCATTTGACCCAAGTATTAATTATGCCCTTGCAACTCAGAAGATACATCTTAAAAATTAGGATAGGTTTAGTTATGTGTATATGAATGTTTTGCCTACATGCCTATCTTTGCACCACATTCTTGTCTGCTTCCTTCAGAAACCAGAACAGGGCATCAGATCCCCTGAAACCGAGTTACAAATGGCAATAAAGCAAATTGAGCGTATTGAATATACAAACTGAGTCTTCTGCAAGAACAGCAAATGCTCTTAACAGCTGAGCCATCTCTCTGGGATCGTAGAAGGTATGATGCTATGATTGTCCTTACAATACAATTCATTCAAGCTTTCCATTTTCTGCATTTGTTATAGATCACACTGTCTGGACTTATTGGAAGCCTTCACTAAATTTTGATAACACTTTCTCTGCTCACATCTGCTTTCATCTAGCTAACTTTCACTCCCTCACTAGTGGACACATGTTGGAAAGTGCTTTTGAAAACATTTATATTTTGAAAAGTGTTGTGAAAATAACATAATTACCTATTCCTACTCTTTTCCCATTCCTCTGCTTTTCTTCTACCTGTCAGTTCCCCCTTTTCCTCTGACATTAGCAGAAAATATAATATCATAATATGGTTGGTACAACTGTGTTTCCTTTATGAAAATTCTAGTATCACATGTGTGAGAAGCTGAAATGTATAAACATTGACTTGTGGAGTTCCTCCTAGAAGCAATACCACAATAAATCAGTTGATTATATAAAATATATATTCATGATATTTTATTGTTTGGGGTTTAAACAGTCAATGTTAAAATATTTTTTGAAAAAAACATTTTAAATTGGTATCTGATTTCTTGACTAATAATTATTTAAAACTAGTTATACTAAGTATTTCATGCAATTTCCATACCATAAGAAACTAAATGTGGTATAAATATCAAATTATACAAGTATATTTGTATATATGATAATTTAAGATTAATTTGAAAATATGGTCATATAATAACTTCTTTGCATACAAATTATAACAGAAATAATTAAATAATTTTCTAGTACTTATAGACCACATTTTATTTAAAATTGTTGGAAGCTCATTTCAGTCTTTATTACATTAAGTAAACACAATTGATTCCTATAAAATTATATTATTTCATTTTAATAGTATCTCTTTCAATTCTGTCTATCCATATTTTTATGTCAAAGGTAAACTTTTAAAGAATTTTTTAAATTTATACTTCTCAAGCCTTTGCAAAATATATTATTTTGAGGATATAAGCTCTTTAACTTTTAAGCTTTATTCAATTTATTAATATGCTGAAAAGTTTGAGGCTTTTAAAAGAAATGCATGCCATTTTAACTCATTCAAAATTTTCCTTGGAAGTTAGAGACTAAATAAATCAACTTAAAATTTGACTTATTGAAGTTAAGGTTTATCAGAAATTATCTATGTACTTTCAATAGCTCATCAGGTTATAGAGGGACATCAGAATTTGGAGTATACTACATGCTCTTGTACCCTACAGAAAACTGAATCAAGTGAAACTTCTTTAGGGAAAAAAAAAAAGGTGGAGACACACACTTGGTCCTCTAACCAGATCTCAAAAATTTAAGGAAACTATGATAAAGATCCAATGTTGTATGGCATTGCTAATCCCTGCTGGCCCAAGCTGAGGGCTCGCATAGGCTCCTGATCACTTTAGAGAGGAGTGAGAAGATCAGTAAGACACAAAAGGAGTATTTTGTCTAAGAATTACTTATTCTGTTGGATAATGACAAATGGCAGCATCAGACACAGGCTGTATTATCCTTGTGAGTGGACAGAGTTCTTTGAGGAGCTGGGGAAAAAGGGTACCTGGCCCTTATTTTCACAAAACCTGATCATGAACAATCTCCTCATAAAAGTCAAATTCCTAAAGCAGTCCAGAAACAGCCTGAGGATTGCAAAAATTTTTGATATGTTCAAATAAACTCTCCAAACTTTGTGAAGTTTAATAACTTTTTAAACAATGTTGATAAAAAATTTAGAACAATATATGACATTATTATGGCATTTTGTCATATACATATAAAGTTTGTAACATGATATCTTGTATATGCACATTGTATATGTTTTTTAATCTCAAGGTAAATATTCAAGCATATACACATACATAAATAGTTATGTACATACGTATGTCAAACTTGTGTGTATGTATTTCACTATACAAACCAAGGAATAAAAATACAAAAATGCATGCATAATGAAGTCTTTTTGAATTCAAACAAACAATTATATCCACTTTGGTATTTTAAATTCTTCCTACTTAACCTATCTTAGAGACAAGAATAAAGAAGTCTGAAGATTATAGTTACAAAAACAAAATAGATGATGAAGAAATGTGGCAGGGGTAAATATATAAATGAAGCCAGACCAAGAAATATATAGATGTTTAACATAATTGCAAATAATCCCAAAATGACTCAGTTTACTTGTATTGATTGTGAATTGTCCAGGCAGCTATCACTGGACAAAGGATTTCTGGAGCAACATTTCATGTCAGTCTTTAGAAGGAAATGAATTGGTTGCCGCCATACAGTGACAATGGTGTTGCTAGTGAAACAGGAGTTACCTCTCCATAATCAGAACAGCAAAGGCTCAAGGGATACTTATAAACTGGTCACATGAATTTGACAAGAAAGAAGCTAGCAGCCAATATAGGAAACTATCAATATCTACAAGGATGATGTCTGGCAAGGACAGCCAGTGATGTAGGGACCAGTGGGTGAGCCAACACTAGCAGCTAAAAAAGCAAGTGAAAAATGAACAGGGGAAGGGAGGCTTCAATCCCCCTAGCTGGACTGAGAAGGGCATGTGCAGCCCATGATCATCTCTTAGATTGGGCCACAAGGGCATGCACAGAGAGCAAGACCCCATATTGACTGGGCCCAAGGCATGCATGGAGAATTAACTCCCCTACCCTAAATGGCCTTAGTCTTTATCAGGTTTCAGCCATAAATCCTATGGAAAGTCCCCAGAAAAGAAGCCCAACATGGTACTTCTTTTCTTGAGATTCTTCCCACTTTGGGGAGTTTCTGTCATTGTTCTCTGTTTCCACACAATCCATGTGTCCTGGATGTTATGTGGCCAGTTGTGTTAGACATGGAAAAACCCAGTATGGCTGAAAGACAGCTCTTCCCCAAATCAAATCATACAAAATGTGACACTTTCCTTCTTCCCTTGAGAAACATAAATTAAGTATTCATCATTTTTGACACTAAGACTATAATACCCTGACTCTGGCCCAGGTGTGTTCCAGACATTAAGATATCAATTATATGAAGTGAGGATGATGCAATCTGGGAATAAAGAAGATTAATGGGATGCCAGGTCAGAGGAAGAAAACCAGTATTCATCAAACACATATTATGTGTCAGGCCCTCTGCCTGAAGCTGTGGAAGTATCTTTGAAATACAAAAGTGAAGAAGTACTGTCAAATTAGGAATATACAGTTCACAGAAATCCATTCTGCAACACATTTATACACATGGGAAATTCATTTGATAATTTACTCCACAAAATTGGTAGAACAAATCATTTTTACTAGCAAGGTGTTTCAAGTGTCGAATAAATTCTAGTTGTTTTAAAGAAATAGTATATAAATAACAATTTAATTTGGGAAACAAATACAACATTTTTATTGTTGTTCTTGATCATCATTATTGCAGTAATTGTGAGAATTACTTTAAGCTGAAATATAGGAAATTTGATGATCATCCCTGTTTATTAAAATTTGGTGCTATGTGGAGATAGGATTGTTGTGGTTAATGTTTACTATCCATTACTTTAATTACTTATAGAGCACAGTTTAGACATTCATGTATGTCAATATACAGCCCTAAAGGAATACAAATGCTAAGAAATTAAAATATCATCAACCATAACTTTAATACCATTTCAATAATACATAGCAATGAAATAAAATCATGTCTCTGTTTGTAGACAATATTTGGTTGTTTTTCAAGTTATCATCAGCTCTCATCTCCAGCTATCTAGAAATCATTCCAAGCCTAAAACCACATAATTTTCTGACAACATGTCAACTATATACAGTAACCCAAAATGGCACAATAGGTTGATGTGAATACTGTCTGCACATGTAAGCATTTTAACTACTGCTGTGAAGTCTTAAGCACATATTACTCCGTGCGTTAGTGTTACCTTCACACCTTGTAAATAATCGGAGGAAGAGAAAAAAAAAAAGTATCCCTTTAGAAAGATCATGCTTCAAACATTCCATATGGACTTATTATACTTCCTAATGGAATTTCATATTAATCTCATCAAGAACCAAAACTGTTATGGTATGATCAAATACACTGAACAGACATCTGAATCTGTGGCTCTTCCTCATGTCACATTCAAAGGCACATTTTCTCTATTTGAGAATTAATTCATCAGAATCATTTCATTTTTTTTTCAGGAAATATGAACATTTTATAAGATTCTAGGAAAAATTCCTAATAAGAATTTGGAAAAGTGTCAGAGTTAAATTGATACAAATAACAAAACACACTTTTGTCATTAGAAGTTTGTTCATTAGACATTAAAAAAAATAAAACTGTCTTGTTGGTAAGCTCCCCACTGATACTGATAAATGCATAATGTCAAACAGACATGAGAAGCCAAAAATCATAAGTGACTATTCTTTGCATTTGTTTTATAAATAAACGCGTTGATTTTATGTGTCTTTTATTAAGATTAGAGAAAAGCTTTGAAAATGGACTTAGCATTCATCTTAGCACTTACCTCATATGGGTGATAATAAGTGTTGTGGTGGGAATGAAAAAATCATCCACTCGGTCAAACTGTTTCCCCACTGGCTGTGTGTGGATGGTGTGGTGTGGCACATTCCCACTGGCCAGGGTTATCACCTATACACAATACACCAGGTTTAGACCAAAGCAGTATAGAGTATGAAGCTCAATTTTATTCAAGATAAATATATTTGTGTCAGTAAACTCTATATTCCTTTTGAGAGTTGGTATCTTAGTAGCAAAGTGTGATGTGTAATATGTAGCTAATTTTTGACGGGAAAACTTCTTTCTACAAAGAAGTCTTGTAGCATATGATTTTTTGCACAAGGCAGACAACTTAGGACTTAACATTCTCAGAACACATCTGATTGTTAAGAGATACAGGACTGTAAATATACATATGCAGCCTGTGCATTGTGGAAGCTGTGAAAATAGTAAACCAGACAAACATAGAGCAATATAAAAGAATTACTATGACATAATTTCTTCTGTAGAGCAGAGATAGCGATACGGCCATGAGAACAAAAACAAAGCATAGCATCATCTTAACTTTTGAAAATCTTGGACTAATGCAATTTTATTTTAAAAACTTTTATTCATTTTTGAAATTTATTTATTTGTGTGTGTGTGTGTGTTGTGTGTGTGTGTAGGTGTGTGCTCACATTCATATGTGTGTGCAATGCCATAAATGTGAAAATCAGAGGACTATCTTCAGGAGACAATTATACATAAAATATGGTTATATTTAAAATCTGGTTATATCTAAAATAAAATATGGTTATATTTAAAATATTTTATTCCTCATATTCTACAATGCATCAAGTTCTAGAAGTTCCCTTTATATGTCTTGTACCTTATCAGTATTGAAAGAAACAATTACTTGATTAAAATTTTGTTCAAATAGTGAGTATGCAGGGGGCTGGATAGTGGCTTGGCAAGTCAATGTGCTCACTGTCCAGCCTGATGACTTGTTCTACATTTGAATACATACTCCTCACCAAGTGTGAAACTGTAGAACACACTCTCATCATGACTTTTAGAATAGCAACTTTTACATTTTATAACGCATCAATATCATTTTAAAAGTAAAATCAACTACGATACACTTAAAACTCTGTGGAGAATCACTAATTAGTATGATAGCTCATGGGATTTCTTAGTAGTAAAAATTACAGAAAACTAATAATTTTCCTGAATATCTGTCAAAAATGTATGGCTTAAAAATCTAGCTTGAAAATATAAAATGAAAATATATGTAGGGTTTTCTATTATTGAGAAGTTGAGAAACTGCTGTTGCACCTTTCTGAGTAGATGGGTTATAAAATGCAATGTTCTGGAACAAAGACTTCTCAGCCTTTAGAGTCCAGTGCCTGGCTTTCACCAGTTGTCACTGTGATTGACATAACACAGAAACACAAACACCGCAGTGAGGACCTGCCCACAGTTTTATTATGAATTGAGTTTCTCAAAAGGATTATTCATTCCTACTTTCACAAGTCTAAAATCCTATTTCCTTTGCAGATGTATCATGATAATCCTAGTGGGTGATAAATTTCCGTGATTATTGGACATTTCTGCAGAGTCATGGTTTTCTTAGCAAAGGGAACTGGCAAGCCACTCAAGGAACTGTGGTCTGATATGTGGGCTTAGGAGCTTTTAGCAGTGAATTGATCTCAAAACAATAGTCAAGATCTCACAGGAGCCAAGATGTAACATTCCAAGCTCTGTCTGTCTATCTGTCTATCTATCTATCTATCTATCTATCTATCTATCTACCCACCGATCATCTATCTAACTACATATCTATCCATCCATCTATCGCCTATCACACATCTTTCCATCTATCCAGCTATCTAGCATCATCTATCTATCTATCTATCTATCTATCTATCTATCTATCTACCATCTTTTAGAATCTACCTATCCTCTATCCTTTGATAGAAAATCTTGCTTTCTGCCTTTCATTTTATATTTTCAAATATGATCTAATGTCTACTTGGAATTTTGTTTTAAAAATCACTGTGTTTTATAACTTAAAGATTTTATTAGGTTTTCAGTGGAAAAAAGTTATTTTTAGATGATTAAGCAATGTAGATAAAATTACTTAGGATGTCTATAAACTCTTTGAGGGGGTAATCCTGTATAATGTTAAAGGGTTTATCTAAAAAACTTCTGTGAATATTACAACACTTGTTATTTTAATCCATTTGAGTAGCTTGAACCAAAGGAGAATTGAAGTAATTGATTTTAAAATAGACACAAATAGCAGCAATAAAAAAAATAGTATATTAAAAACACATGCTGTCCTTTTTAAAAGAAAATAAAGTATTTAATCTTGTAAAAACATACCTTAATCTTTAAAAAAATCAATTAAAATAACAGCATTAAAATGTTTTATAGTTTTGTGTGTATAGATGTTTTGCCAGCATGCATATACATCCTCCAAGTGCCCAAGAAACCCAGAAGAGGGAATCAGATTCCCTGGGATTGAAGTCACAGATGATTCTGAGTGGCCATGCTGGTGCTGGGAATATAACATATATCCTCTGGCAGAAAAGTCAGAGCTGTTAAGCATCCCTGAAATACATCATTTTATAGTCCCCCATGCTGGCTTGTTTTGCCTTGTCAAGATTAGACTTAAATATCAAATCTCCAATAATTAGATGACTTCCTTGTCTGGACATATATCACTTTTGCAATCTTCCACTGTGAAGAGTAGTGGTGTTATTCAGCCTCTCTCACTGTGGCAAGTAGAGAGATTTTGCTGCGCTTAATGAGATATGGCAAAAGTGACTGTGAATTCTAGTCCAAATGCTAAGTCCCCTTGAGTTTTGACTCTTGTCTTCTGAAAGTGCTGGGCTGTGCAGATATCTGGCTTGAGGTCACAAAGAGGAGATGCAAGTACTCTAAGGGTACCACTGCCTTTTGATGGATCTGGAAATGAGCCAGTGGGGACAGTGGCGACTGGAGCCACATTGACAAACATAAATCTCACTTACATACAGCTCAAATGGCTATTTCACAAAAGTAGATTGCTACTTTAGCTTAAGTCTAGGATATTCATAGTTTAAAACATGAAGTTATAGAATGATTTGAGTTGTAAAGTAGGTAACTGATATACTCTGTTCCTGACATTTAAAATGTCTCTCATTTCTAAATATAAAGTGAACTGTCTTTATCATAATTAAAATAATTTATCTCAAGAGCTCTAGCATTTGAATAAAATATTTCAGTACTGAAAAATCCTCAGAAACATTTAAAACGCTGTTAATGACAACTACTGGGGAATCAAAATACTACATCTAACCTACCTTACTCAAATTTGTAAAAAGTTTGACACCTTAGGGTTCTGCATTAGTGGCACACTCCAGATAATACTGTGTCCACAGGCAGTGGGAGGAAGTAGTTCATAAAAAATTTCCAGCACCCATCTCCTTTCCCCTTAAACTTGTTTCTGAGGATCTGAAGGCTGTGGCACAAGGTCACAGTCAATTGATTATTTTCTTTCTCTGGTTATGTGACATCATCACGTAAATGACCTCAAAAAGAGACAATAGTCCCAAGATGAACACAGCACATCCCCCAATTAAAAGTAAGTCTGTGCTCCTACTACCAAAATCTAGAAGCTAAAGACTATAGAACAGCCTTTGTTCTTGTGGTTAGATTCCATGGTCTCTACCTCATGGCCTCACTCAGTGTACTGAAGCAAGGCCACAGTTCAAATGTGTCCTTACCTGTCTATTAATGGATGGATGGTTACTGAGGATGTGGCTCAGTTATATCACTAAACCTTCTCTGGCACGCATGCTTTGCTGCGTCATATGAGGCTCTTGACAGAAGCTGCCAGTATGGTCTTATAGTTCACAGGTTCTGTTACAGCAACAGCACACAGAGTAAGGTAAATTATAATGTTTCTTTTTCTAATGTCATTAACTGTTTACTCTCATTCATTATTTTAGCATATAACTGTAATCTTTAATAAATATTACTTGTGGTCATCCAAGTCTGAAATTACTAGAGTTTTACACATTTTTTCCCTTTTCCAATGCATAGACGGTGATTGAAACTACAGTTACTATAAAGAAGAGTGTCGTAGTTAAATGCTCATGAACATCACTGAGATACCTACAGGTTTTAAAATCATCACTTCCTCGGGTCCCCTGACATTGTTACCTGTAGAGTTGGTGATGTCTTGTCCATGCTACCCCAGCTCAGCACCCACACCTGGTCATGTGACTTGTCATAGTGTAATTTAACTGGTACAGGGTCTGTGCTCACTGCCTGTAATCAAGAACAATCGAAAACGTAAGTTTTAAAACCTTGGCAATATTGGAAAACTGTACCAGTAATGAAGGAGGAATCCAGTAATTCAGAATGAGATTAAAATCATATTTGGCCAGATACCTGATTTTTCTATAATCTATTAGATTAACCTAAAAGTATCATATTCAATCTCAATTTCTTCCAATATTTGAGCAATTTTATATAGTATTATTTTGTTCAACTGTCTAAATGTGAATTTTGAGTCAAGGAGAGTTGTTTCGAAAATGAAGGTTTATAAAATGTGGTATGTATGCTCACTACAGCTCAGTGATGACATAGTTCGGCTGTGTTTGTGTTCTCAGTTTTCACCATCTTCATGAAGGACCTGACTCAACTGAAGTCAGCCGGGAACAAAGGCCACATCTGCATTAAAGGTCTTATGAGGCCTCTGGACAGATTAGAATCCATGATGGTAATGCTGCCACTCCAAGCTGATATGCCCTGGGTCATCTTAGGAACCTTAATAGCCATTCATTGTTTACCTGTGTCTGAACAAAGCCTTCCAACCACCAGGTACAACCATGGAGTGTGTTGACAGGCCACAACCTTCCGCCAGTCCCCAGTGTCATCAAGTAGCATCAAAAGCCTACAGCAGCTAAGTTCTGGTTTCTTGAAACCAACCCAGGTACTTGAAAATGCCAAGATTTTGACTTTCTATTGTTTTATGACTGTAACCATTCAGGACAACATGACTCCATGTTCCCAGGCAGGGCCACTCTCATTTGGCTTAGAATAAACAGTTTCTTCTTTGATTTGTTAACTGAATTGCATGGCATGTCCATTCATGAACTCAAAATGGCAACAGTTGGACCAAGGGGCTTAAATGTACTACCTGGTTACATAAAAATCACTTTAATGAGTTTTCTAATATCACCAAAAAAACCCCCAAGGGATCTTTTTTAATTGTTTGTGACATAATTGGTATAATATGTGTATTTTTCTAATAATATTTATAATATTAAGCATCTACTTTAAATACAATTACCAGAAAACAAATTGTTGCTAGGAAGTCATTTTGTTCTCCCTAATTTTATCCTGCTTATATTATAAAACTAACAGCTGTAAGGTAATTTACTGTCATTGTTACTTATATGTGCTTTCTAAGTTTATATTATGAAATAAATTATATTCAGTCAAAAGTTATCCAATAATGACAGTGTTTCTTCCCAAAGCTATTGAATATTAGCAAAATTCCCCAAGAGGTAACTCACAGTAATATGCAGTTCTTGGTGGATTAGCAAAAGTTAAATTAAAGTTGTGGTTGCGCATATGGAAATTGATATTTCAATTTGTATTAGAAATTTAGGTTTACAATTTTTTAGTTCATAATATCTAAGGATTATTAAAATAATGAGTGGATTTGGGGAAAGAGCTGTTAAAAATTTCTGTACTGATGTTCTTATCCCTTTCTTCTTGGATGTTACAGTTGTATCATAGTTTATGGTCCAGCTAAGCAGATATGACATGGTGTGGGTGCATTGCCACTAACACCACTGAGAAGTAATCCTTTGCTGTGACAGATACTAAGCTTCCCAGCTTCCCAGGGGGTGCTCTAGTCTCTGCATTGTAACCACTAAGTCGCTCCACAATTTTTTGAGAATGATACTGTACTTCACAAACCAAGACAGCCACAGAACATCCTCCTCGACTCATTTTCCATGCCCTTCCTGCTTTGAATGCTATCTTGAGAAGATGTTCCTCTATGTTTCTAAGGCATTTTGAGTTGATGAAAAACTAAGATCAAATAGGAACAGACAAAAGTTGAGGTAGTAGGAGAAAAAGAAGCCTGAATTTTCATTAATGAATTTCAATTTATGCTGCATAAACACATAGAAAGACCCGACTAGACTTGGCATTATTAAAGTAATAAACTAGTTTTATTACTTAAGGAATGGCTATGATTGTATTTACATAACTGTTTTTGTATCTATGTCAGATGTTGCATTGAAATTTTTGCATGCATTAATCAATAACTTGTGAGCAACGAAAGAGCTGCCTCCTATCAGTGAAGTGGTGACAAAGAGGATTAGTTTGGCTTTTCACATCTTCTCTTTTATATTGTAAACTTGATTTGTATGTGGTTATTACAACCTAGTTTGCATGCTGTCTAAAATAGAATGATCATCAGGTCACCAGATTCTGAAGAAATATTTCAGTGTAAACAACAGCAACAACCAGGAAAACATTTTCGATATTTAACTTTTAAGAATACAGTAGGACACATGATAAAGGTTTGTAAATGACTGTTTAGGATCAAGAAGAGATTTTAATGGGAATTTCCACTCTGATACAGCTTAGATACTGCTTTTGCTTTTATAAGGCTTTTCCTAGCTAATACCCTACATGGATGCACGGCCATACATAGGGCTAAGAAAACTGTGGCTGTCACATCAGAGGCCATCTACCCTATCTATCAGGTACTGCACTACTTCCTATTAGGGGTATCTCTATGAACACAAAAGGTGCTCTGTCTAGATCCTCAAATTTATACCTTATATACATGAAGATTTGGGAGACACTGTTCTGCTTTGGAAGATGGCCAAAAACTCAAGGAGGCTCCAACATCTGTATCTGTATGTGTGTAGAAGTACAGTCTACAGTGCAGAGCCAGGGAGGCACAGGATATCTTATCTTCATGAACAGTCATTCTAAAACCCTTCATGTAATACAATAGCAAAACCTTACAAAGACATTAAGCTTATTTTTCTTATAAAGAACTAAAAATACCTATTTTCAAAAATTCTTGTGACTGTTAGGATAAGCAATGAATGTCTGTGTCTGGTGAATATTAAGCACTACTGAACTATTACTGCAACTATTATAAGAAGTAGTCTGCATTGCAGCTCACTCACTGGTAGATGCTTCCTTAGCATGCTCTTCAGGGAGCCTTTGCTTCCACATTGTAGATGGGTGCACACTAATAAATGTTGAGTTAATTTCATGATTGTGTTGTTAACATTACAATGTTTCAATAATCAAATGAAGACACTGAAGAAAATTAAGGAGCACAGTCTCTGTCTTTAAAGAATTTACAGAATAGAGGGGTTCATATGGACTTGGAATAACTCATATGGACTTAGAATGACTTGACATGTTCGTACATGATTACCTCCTTACTTATAAGTAACTACAGCCTTTAAATTTTGACTATCCTAATGGACTTCTGTGGGGGTGGGTTCCATTCTTAGCTGCCATTATCAATCATTATAGGAAATGGTTTTAAAGTGTAATGTGATTATTCCATCATAAGATATAAACAAGTATAAACAAATGTGCTGGGGTCATCTCCCCATGGCTTCTCATCTGTTAACTCAAACAGGAGTTCATGCAGTGGATACCACCTGGAGTGTCCAACTGTTTGACATTATGACATGACGGCATTTCCAAATATGTCGGGCCAAGTTCATGCCTATTTGGGACTCAAGAATTCCATAGGGCTGGAGGGCCACAGAGTTGATATGCATAGCTGCACACACTACTTTTTTGTGTATTTATTTGTTTCTAAGTTCAACTACCTCTTCTTATTCCATGAAAATGGTATTTGTTAAAAGACAGTGATTTGGAATGTATGCCTGGAATGTGGTGTACTGGCATGTGCTTATGTCTCTTCCAAGTTCAGCCTGTGTTGAATTCTACTTTCTGCTTTGACATAGTTTATATTAGCCTATAGATAATATTTTTCTAGAAAAATCTGTTTTCAGACTCTTCCACCGGAATCCTCCAGAAACAAAGGCCTATTGCGTAATTCTGGAGAAAACCCTTCTTTTAACAAAAGTGAGGGAACCAAACACAGCCGACTTAGTGAATTATTCTGGCTATGATATTGTTGGTTAATTTTTTTTCTTCTTGACAATAAGCTATAATTTTATGCACAGCTATTTGTCTGCTTTGTCTTATCCTATACCAATTCTACTACAACACATTGTCTTAAGATCTGTTGAAATATTAACCTTTACTGAAATACTTTTCAAAAACCAAGCATGTTATTGTCCTACATGTATAACCTCTAGTATGATTTCTAATGTAAGTACTATGCTCAGTTCTATAGTTAGTGATGAGCTCAACTCATCTCCTACTTGTTTTTTGAAAATATATCAAATATGCGACAGTAAAACAAAAGATTTCATTTGATACACTATAGCTTTATATAGCCATTGACAGAATCATTCTTTCTGTAATATTATAAAAATAGTGTTGAGATCCAAACTTCATATGTGCTTTCAGATTTAATTTTTTATATGTATTTATGTCTGTGTTGACCTATAGAAAATAATATTCTTATACATAGGTGGTGTATTGAGTCATCGGTCTTTCTTGGGCAAGTATAATAAAATCAAAAACCTAATTGTACAATGCACTTCTCATGGACAAGGTGCATCAGAGTCTGTGAAGATGATTCAGTTTGTTAAGGAGAAACAATGGCAATAGCAGCAAGGCACAGAAGAAGGGCTGAGACATGACATGCGGGAACAGTGGAGCACAGCTTGTTTACCAGTCTGACAAGGAGAGTACCAGCTGGCTAATTAAGTGAACCTAATTTAAACTAATGATGTAGATTCCCAAGATAATGTGCTAATGGCTGGAGGAGACTGCTGATGATCCCAAGAATACTCCTGAGGTGTCACACTAAGCCTCTTCTGCACCCAGGCAGAACAGAATCTTGTTCCATAGAAAACAAAATGAGGTCAGTTGTTTACCAGTTAATCAGCTATAAAGGGAAACATCATCTGTATGTCACTCTAGGAAATAATTGAAACAATTTGACATTTAAAACAATACCAAGTTTAGGAAAACTGTTAAATTATTGTCAAGTTATGCTTTTGGATGCAGATGAAAATGAAGTGGATGGATCTACTGAAAACACATATACAATAGTTTCTGGATTGTCATCAAATTCAGACCTAAGCTGGAAAAGCTAGTCACTTTTCTAAAACTAATGTGTAGCAATACAGCTAAAA